GATGACAAAGTTGATCCCATGTATCACAAATCTTCCCTATGAGGATAGACTGAGGTCCCTGAATCTGCACTCTCTAGAAAGGCGTAGAATTAGGGGAGATATGATTGAGGTGTATAAATGGAAAACAGGAATAAATAAAGGGGATGTAAATAACGTGCTGAAAATATCTCGCCTAGACAGGACTCGTAGCAATGGTTTTAAGTTGGAAAAATTCAGATTCAGGAAGGATATAGGAAAGCACTGGTTTGGTAATAGAGTTGTGGATGAGTGGAACAAACTCCCGAGTACAGTTATTGAGGCTAAAACGTTGTGTAGTTTTAAAAATAGGTTAGATAAATACATGAGTGGATGTGGGTGGGTGTGAGTTGAACCTGATTAGCTTGTGCTACTAGGTCAGTTGTAGTGTTCCTCCCTTAAGTGAATGTGACCTGCCCTGACTAGGTTGGGGACTGGCTTAAGCCGGTAGGAGACTTGGACCTGTCTCGCATGGTCCAGTAGGCCTGCTGCAGTGTTCCTTCTTTCTTATGTTTTTATAACAAGCGGCTTTCTATATAGTAGTATGTCATTGATGTCAGCTATGGTCTGTATACCTTGTACATGTACTTGTAGTTGGTTTAGAAAGACACGTGAGCAAACACTATGACATATAATGTCTTTCTACCTCTGTATGTTAGAAGTGATCAAGGTCCCAGGACCGAAACGTTTTCTAATAAATATGTCATAGTGTTTGCTCACGTGTCTTTCTAAACCAACTTGTCGGTATTTATTACCAAGGTTTATACCATGTACTGGTAGTAAATAAAGAAAACGAGGCGTTCAAATTGAACAGTCCGCCCTGATCGTTTTCTTTCTTATTCTCACGACTTAAGAAAACTTGTTTACGTTGTAAATGTTTATAGGATCATAAGCTATATTAATATCCTCTTTAGTAAGTAAGGTTTTATTCAGGTACAGGTACGCATAAACACAGTTACATAAATTATTATATATAGCAACACATGTGTAGATTACGCAGTCAAAGTCAAAGTGATTTATTTCCATTAGGGTCCTTGTAATAGTTGTTGTTTAAATCTTAAAGTTAAAACAAGTAAGTAAATTAACTATGTGAAAAGTAGTTACAATAAAAGGAGATATAATAAGGACAAGGTAAATTCAGTTAGGTACATTAATATTATTAATGAGTTGAGAGCATTTATAGATAAGAATCGAGAAACGGTGGTCTGGTGGCTAAAGCTCACGCTTCACACACGGAGGGCCCGGGTTCGATTCCCGGCGGATGGAAATTCCGACACGTTTCCTTACACCTATTGTCCTGTTCACCTAGCAGCAAATAGGTACCTGGGTGTTAGTCGACTGGTGTGGGTCGCATCCTGGGGGACAAGATTAAGGACCCCAATGGAAATAAGTTAGACAGTCCTCGATGACGCACTGACTTTCTTGGGTTATCCTGGGTGGCTAACCCTCCGGGGTTAAAAATCCGAACGAAATCTTATCTTATCAGGCCTACTGGCCCATACAAGGCAGGTTTTTCTCAAATCTAACTAATAAGTCTTTTTAGGTAAATTTTCACACATCCCTTTGCGAGACTTTTTTTGGGGGGTTGTCCTAGGTAATTTACATATGTTACTATGAAAATAACCACAAGGGGGGGGGGTGTTGAATGCTACGATAGCTCTAGGCTTTTGTGTTGCAATCAACACATCATCAAGAGCTTGGAATACAGTAGAAATGCAAAAATGCTAGACTTGTCCCCGTGAGTGCTTCTATCCGGACTTCCTACTCATTCGTGCAACATTGCAAACTCCTGATGTGTTTGTTGCAACATGAAAGGTCTAGAACTATCTTTCAACTTGCCCCCATCGCTGTTTTGCGTCTTGTGTCGCTTGTTGGCGAATTTTGCAAATGTTACTATGCATAATAATATGTGTAACTGTATTTATGTGTACCTGTATCTACATAAACTTACTTAACTAGTAATGTATAATTAAATTACCTAGAATAACCCCAAAAAAGTCAAAGTGACTTTTTTTCCATTGGGGTCCTTGTAATTTCCATTGGGGCCCTTAAAATTTTCATTGAGCTCCTTGAAATTTCCATTAGGGTCCTTGAAATTTCCATTATGGGTCCTTGAAATTTCCATTCGTGTCCTTGAAATTTCCATTGGGATCCTTGAAATTTCCATTAGGGTCATTGAAATTTCCATTGGGGTCCTTGAAATTTCCATTAGTGTCCTTGAAATTTTCATTAGTGTCCATGAAAATTCTATTGGGTTCCTTGAAATTTCCATTAGTGTTCTTGAAATTTCCATTGGGATCCTTGAAATTTCCATTAGTGTCCTTGAAATTTCCATTGGGGTCCTTGAAATTTCCATTGGGGTCCTTGAAATTTCCATTAGTGTCCTTGAAATTTTAATTAGTGTCCTTGAAATTTCCATTGGGGTCCTTGAAATTTCCATTAGTGTCCTTGAAATTTCCATTGGAGTCCTTGAAATTTCCATTAGGGTCCTTGAAATTTTCATTGGGGTCCTTGAAATTTCCATTAGTGTCCTTGAAATTTTCATTGGGTCCTTGAAATTTCTATTAGGGTCTTTGAAATTTCCATTGGGGTCCTTGAAATTTCCATTAGTGTCCTTGAAATTTCCATTGGGTCCTTGAAATTTCCATTAGTGCCCTTGAAATTTCCATTGGAGTCCTTGAAATTTCCATTAGGGTCCTTGAAATTTTCATTGGGGTCCTTGAAATTTCCATTAGTGTCCTTGAAATTTTCATTGGGTCCTTGAAATTTCTATTAGGGTCTTTGAAATTTCCATTGGAGTCCTTGAAATTTCCATTAGTGTCCTTGAAATTTTCATTGGGTCCTTGAAATTTTCATTGGGGTCCTTGAAATTTCCATTAGTGTCCTTGAAATTTTCATTGGGTCCTTGAAATTTCTATTAGGGTCCTTGAAATTTCCATTGGAGTCCTTGAAATTTCCATTAGTGTCCTTGAAATTTTCATTGGGTCCTTGAAATTTCTATTAGGGTCTTTGAAATTTCCATTGGGGTCCTTGAAATTTCCATTAGTGTCCTTGAAATTTCCATTGGGTCCTTGAAATTTCCATTAGTGCCCTTGAAATTTCCATTGGGGTCCTTGAAATTTCCATTAGTGTTCTTGAAATTTCCATTAGGGTCCTTGAAATTTCTACTGGGGTCCTTGAAATTTCCATTGAGGTCCTTATATACATTGAAATTCCTCGCTTCTTTCTCCAGCCTTGAAAAGGTAAGTGAAAGTAGAAGGGGAAAAGTATGTGAAATAGTGAAAATTAAGTAGAGGAAAGTAAATAAAAATTATGCAATGGAAAGTAAGGAAAAGTAAGAAAGTAACTGAGTAAGTAATAAGAGAAAATAAATAAGAAACTTGTGCAACACTTGGTTATCTTATTTTCTGAAGACGTTTCGTCCATCAGCTTTATCAGTTCACTGAAGAGATGATAAATTAGACACATGTGCAACTCTTGGGTATCTTTATTGAGCCAACGTTTCGCCACACAGTGGCTTCATCAGTCCATACAAAGGAGAATCGTGAAGAACAGGAGAAGAATTAGGTAATCAGTCACTCAACCTTGAGTCGATGTGATTAGTCCATCAATCTTGAATAGAATATAGCATATGTGCGGAGAAGTAGCTTATAAACCGTATGGCAGGAGAGGTGCAGCAGTCGTAGGTGGTGTCACATTTGTCCAATGTTGAAGTAGGTAGTGCCCAAGGGTTAGGCAAGTGAAGAATTTCTAAGTATTAAGATCCCAAGAAGTTGCAGTGTCTGACAGGATTGTAGATGAATCTACAATACTACTGTCGGAGTCTGTGTCATACCTTGTCGGTGAAGCCTCCAGATACCTAGATGCCAGAGCCAAAGAACGTATTAATGCATTCCAAACCAATGACACTATAAATGTAGACACTATAAACAGACACAAGAACCACGATTTAAATAATGATGTTATCTTTATTTACGACAAGTACATGTACAAGGAATACAGACCATAGCTGACATCAGTGACATACTACTACACAGAAAGCCCCTTGTTATGCTGAGCATTTCGGGAAAATTAGGTCACTTTTGTCCTCAGGATGCGACCCACACCAGTCCACTAACACCCAGGTACCCATTTCACTGACGGGTGAACATAGACAACCGGTGTAAGGAAACACGTCCGATGTTTCCACCCCTTTCTCCGGGAATTGAACCCAGACCCTCACCGTGTGAAGCGAGAGCTTTTGCTACCAGGCTACGGAGCACCAGTGATCGTCGCAGCAGATTATGCATAAAGTCCGCAGTAACAACCACAACCAATAATATTAATCAAAACACAGGACCATTCATAATCTAAGCCTTAATTAAGCTTGAGTCAAAGAGGGAAGGGCAGCTCAAAGTCCTCGTATCAAGACCCGTTCACCAGCATCATTGTACTTTTCTTATTTTCGTCTGTCCCTCCTAATAAGTCATTTTGTTATACCAGGAATAGAGTGAGGCCAAGGACTGAGCCTTGGGGGACCCCGCTGAACACACTTACCCATACTCATTTGTTTGTTATCTCACCCTGATTAAATGTTTATTTTCGTTCTGCAAATACTTTATTTATGCTAATTTCTTGTTAATCCTTTCTGGTCAGTGACTCAGTGTTATGTAACAGCGTCCCTCAAGGGACGTTCCTTGATGCTGGTTAGGGGCCCTTGATACAGGGAATTGGATCTGCGCTCCAGTTCCTTGAAGTGAGCCTGAATGTCTTCCACCTCCTCCCCGACAGATGCTGTATAATCCCTACAGGTTTCGCGCTCCCCCGTAATAATAAATATGTAATAACCTGTGAAGTTGTATAGTATGTCTTTCTTAAAATGATCTTGAGTCAGTATCGGATACTGACGTCTCAGAGTGTATAAAAAAACTAATCTTGACATGTTTCGAAGATTTTCATTTTTTTTTAATTTGTAAGGTTCAAGGGTTAAAAATAAAAATATAATGTGAGGTATAATAATACAAAACTTTTAATACCTTGCCGACCATTAGTGAGGTTATCAAACGAAAGTCGGTGCAAAACTAGTTTACATCAGTGAAAGCTGAAGTACAGGCGCAGCTGTGCGATTAGTGAAAGAAAACGTATCGCTGGCTAGTGGTGAGGGAGGGTTGAAGTGGCTGCTGGAGAGATGGTTGAAGTGGCTGCTGGAGAGATGGTTGAAGTGGCTGCTGGAGAGATGGTTGAAGTGGCTGCTGGAGAGATGGTTGAAGTGGCTGCTGGAGAGATGGTTGAAGTGGCTGCTGGAGAGATGGTTGAAGTGGCTGCTGGAGAGATGGTTGAAGTGGCTGCTGGAGAGATGGTTGAAGTGGCTGCTGGAGAGATGGTTGAAGTGGCTGCTGGAGAGATGGTTGAAGTGGCTGCTGGAGAGATGGTTGAAGTTGCTGCTGGAGAGATGGTTGAAGTGGCTGCTGGAGAGATGGTTGAAGTGGCTGCTGGAGAGGTGGTTGAAGTTGCTGCTGGAGAGATGGTTGAAGTTGCTGCTGGAGAGATGGTTGAAGTGGTTGCTGGAGAGATGGTTGAAGTTGCTGCTGGAGAGATGGTTGAAGTTGCTGCTGGAGAGATGGATGAAGTGGCTGCAGGAGAGATGGTTGAAGTGGCTGCTGAGAGATGGTTGAAGTGGCTGCTGGAGAGATGGTTGAAGTGGCTGCTGAGAGATGGTTGAAGTTGCTGCTGGAGAGATGGTTGAAGTGGCTGCTGGAGAGATGGTTGAAGTTGCTGCTGGAGAGATGGTTGAAGTGGCTGTTGGAGAGATGGTTGAAGTGGCTGCTGGAGAGATGGTTGAAGTTGCTGCTGGAGAGATGGTTGAAGTTGCTGCTGGAGAGATGGTTGAAGTGGCTGCTGGAGAGATGGTTGAAGTGGCTGCTGGAGAGATGGTTGAAGTTGCTGCTGGAGAGATGGTTGAAGTGGCTGCTGGAGAGATGGATGATTACGGTGACTGTTAGAGTGGCACCTGTTGTTACCTCGTCAACTAGTTGTCTCTGGTCCTCTCCCAGTGACTGGCACTGCCAGTGTATGTGTCACCGGCGCAGTGGGACACTAAGACACTACTCTCACTGCGCTTCACACACTGACCACGTTAATGCATTTCTTCACGAGGCATTTCGTGATTTCCTGGTCAAGGGGAAACAATGTATGTTAAGAGTCTATAACTTTTGAATTATTGTATAGTTAGCATTTATTTCAATGTGTATTACTCAGTAATTTTAATGCTTATTACACTATTATGCAGTAATACATGTATTGTACATGTATGGTATGCAATACCGACAAGATAAAGAATTTAACACATGAGCGACGTCTGGATATCTTTATTGTAGACGTTTCGCCCTCCAGTGGCTTTATCAGTAATGTGATATTCACAACTTCAAGGCTTAAGTACTAATTACCTCATATTTTGTATATAATTCTAGAGTTTTCACATTATGCCCTTATTTTTGTTTTGATAAAGCCACTGGATGGCGAAACGTCTACAAATAAAGATACCCAGATGGTGTACATGTATCTAATTCTTCGATACATGTATTGCACAGTAATACACGTATTACACAGTAATACACGTATTACACAGTAATACACGTATTACACAGTAATACACGTATTACACAGTAATAACACGTATTACACAGTAATACACGTATTACACAGTAATACACGTATTACACAGTAAAACACGTATTACACAGTAATACACGTATTACACAGTAATACACGTATTACACAGTAATACACGTATTACACAGTAATACACGTATTACACAGTAATACACGTATTACACAGTAATACACGTATTACACAGTAATACACGTATTACACAGTAATACACGTATTACACAGTAATACACGTATTACACAGTAATACACGTATTACACAGTAATACACGTATTACACAGTAATACACGTATTACACAGTAATACACGTATTACACAGTAATACACGTATTACACAGTAATACACGTATTACACAGTAATACACGTATTACACAGTAATACACGTATTACACAGTAATACACGTATTACACAGTAATACACGTATTACACAGTATTACACGTATTACACAGTAATACACGTATTACACAGTAATACACGTATTACACAGTAATACACGTATTACACAGTAATACACGTATTACACAGTAATACACGTATTACACAGTAATACACGTATTACACAGTAATACACGTATTACACAGTAATACACGTATTACACAGTAATACACGTATTACACAGTAATACACGTATTACACAGTATTACACGTATTACACAGTAATACACGTATTACACAGTAATACACGTATTACACAGTAATACACGTATTACACAGTAAACACGTATTACACAGTAATACACGTATTACACAGTAATACACGTATTACACAGTAATACACGTATTACACAGTAATACACGTATTACACAGTAATACACGTATTACACAGTAATACACGTATTACACAGTAATACACGTATTACACAGTATTACACGTATTACACAGTAATACACGTATTACACAGTAATACACGTATTACACAGTAATACACGTATTACACAGTAATACACGTATTACACGTAATACACAGGCTTTACCGGCATCTCGTTGTCTTTGTAGCAGGAGTCGAAGTTCTTGAGCACTTCCTCCTTGACTGCTGTGTCGTTCAAGTTCTCAATGTCTGCTCTAAAGCTCTGAAAAGCAGGAACCGAAGCATCAGGTTAAGGAGGAATACGGTAGCTGTTAACCGTGGCTTGGTTGACAACGCACTCGCTCACATACCGAGTGCCCGTGGTGCGATCCCCAGTGTGAGTGGAAACGTTACATCTGCTGCCCCTGTTCTCCTAGCAGTGACTACCTGAGTGTTAGTCGACTGGTGTGGGTCGCATTCTGGGGGAGGGGGTAAGTATACCTTAGATAGGGATGAGCTTTGAAGTGAGCTGAGGTAGAATTAATATGATGCTTACATGATCATAAATAAAGGAGCTCAATTGACCTCGCCCTCAGCTCATATGCTGAAGGCCCGTGGTTCGATTCCCGGCACGAGTGGGAAACGTCGGGCAGGTATCCATACACCTGTTGTCCATGTTCCCACAACAGTAAGTAGGTGCTTGGGTATTAATCGGCTGTTATGGGTGGCATCCCCGGGAGGGATGGGGGGGGGGAGAATATAGCTTAGATAGGTCCCGGCTTGAAATTGGGCTAAAGCAACAGCTCACAACCGTGTAAAAATGGAATAATGACATAGACAAGGTAAGGGGGAAGAGTGTAGACCAAGATAAGGGAGGAGAGTGTAGACCATGATAAGGGAGGAGAGTGTAGACCAAGATAAGGAAGGAGAGTGGGAGACCATGATAAGGAAGGGGGAGTGTAGACCAAGATAAGGAAGGAGAGTGTAGACCATGATAAGGAAGGAGAGTGTAGACCAAGATAAGGAAGGAGAGTGTAGACCAAGATAAGGAAGGGGAGTGTAGAAACCCTGATAAGGAAGGAGAGTGTAGACCAAGATTTAAAGGAAGGAGAGTGTTAGACCATGATAAGGGGGAGAGTGTAGACCATGATAAGGAAGGAGAGTGTAGACCATGGGTAAGGAAGGGGAGTGTAGACCATGATAAGGAAGGAGAGGTTTGACCATGACAAGGAAGGGAGTGTAGACCATGATAAGGAAGGAGAGTGTAGACCAAGATAAGGAAGGAGAGTGTAGACCATGATAAGGAAGGAGGGTTTTAGACCATGATAAGGAAGGAGAGTGTAGACCATGATAAGAAAGGGAGAGTGTAGACCATGATAAGGAAGGAGAGTGTAGACCATGATAAGGAAGGAGAGTGTGACCATGATAAAGGAAGGAGAGTGTAGACCATGATAAGGAAGGGGGGAGTGTGACCAAGATAAGAAAGGAGAGTGTAGACCAAGATAAGGAAGGAGAGTGTAGACCATGATAGAAGGAGAGTGTAGACCAAGATAAGGAAGGAGAGTGTAGACCATGATAAGGGGGAGAGTGTAGACCATGATAAGGAAGGAGAGTGTAGACCATGATAAGGAAAAGGGGAGTGTAGGGCCATTTATAAGGAAGGAGAGTGTAGACCATGACAGGAAGGAGAAGTGTAGACCATGATAAGAAGGAGAGTGTAGACCAAGATAAGGAAGGAGAGTGTAGACCATGGGTAAGGAAGGAGAGTGTAGACCATGATAAGGAAGGAGAGTGTAGACCATGATAAGGAAGGAGAGTGTAGACCATGATAAGGAAGGAGAGTGTAGACCATGATAAGGAAGGAGAGTGTAGGGCCATGATAAGGAAGGAGAGTGTAGACCATGATAAGGAAGGAGAGTGTAGACCAAGATAAGGAAGGAGAGTGTAGACCAAGATAAGGGAAAGGGGAGTGTAGACCATGATAAGGAAGGAGAGTGTGACCATGATAAGGAAGGAGAGTGTAGACCCTGATAAGGAAGGAGAGTGCAGACCAAGACAAGAAGGAGAGTGTAGACCATGATAAGGAAGGAGAGTGTAGGACCATGATAAGGAAGGAGAGTGTAGACCATGATAAGGAAGGAGAGTGTAGACCATGATAAGGAAGGAGAGTGTAGACCAAGATAAGGAAGGAGAGTGTAGGGCCAAGACAAGGAAGGAGAGTGTAGACCATGATAAGGAAGGAGAGTGTAGACCATGATAAGGAAGGAGAGTGTAGACCATGATAAGGGAAGGAGGAGTGTAGACCAAGATAAGGAAGGAGAGTGTAGACCATGATAAGGAAGGAGAGTGTAGACCATGATAAGGAAGGAGAGTGTAGACCATGATAAGGAAGGAGAGTGTAGACCATGATAAGGGAAAGGGGAGTGTAGACCAAGATAAGGAAGGAGAGTGTAGACCATGATAAGGAAGGAGAGTGTAGACCATGATAAGGAAGGAGAGTGTAGACCATGATAAGGAAGGAGAGTGTAGACCATGATAAGGAAGGAGAGTGTAGACCATGATAAGGAAGGAGAGTGTAGACCAAGATAAGGAAGGAGAGTGTAGACCATGATAAGGGAGGAGAGTATAGACCAAGGTAAGGAAGGAGAGTGTAGACCATGATAAGGAAGGAGAGTGTAGACAAAATAAGGAAGGAGAGTGTAGACCATGAAAAAAGGAAGGAGAGTGTAGACCATGATAAGGAAGGAGAGTGTAGACCAAGATAAGGAAAGGGGAGTGTAGACCATGATAAGGAAGGAGATGTTGACCATGATAAGAAGAGAGTGTAACCCTGTAAGAAGGAGAGTGTAAACCAAGATAAGAGAGAGTGAGACCATGATAAGGGGAGAGTAAGACCAAGGTAAGGAAGAGAGTAACCATGAAAGGAAGGAAGTGTAGACCAAAAGGAAGGAAGTGAGACAGAAAGGAAAAGGAAGTGTAGACCAATAAAAGGAGAGTGTAGACCAAGATAAGGAAGAGAGTGTAGACATGAAAAAGGGAAAGGGGAGGTAGACTGATAAAGGGAAAGGGAAATGTAGACCATGATAAGGAAGGAGATGTAGACCAAATTAAAGGGAAGGAAAGGAAGTGTAGACCAGATAAGGAGGAGAGTATACCAAGGTAAGAAGAGAGTGTAACCATGATAAAGGAAGGATGTAGACCATGATAAGGAAGGAGATGAGACCATGAAAGGAAGGAGAGTGTAGACCAAGATAAGGAAGGAGAGTGTAGACCATGATAAGGAAGGAGAGTATAGACCAAGATAAGGAAGGAGAGTGTAGACCATGATAGTAAAGTACGCTAGGAGCAACGTCAGAGAGGAGAGCAAAAAACTCTAAGGTGAAAGAAACCCGAAAAAAAGGGAAAAGGTTAGAACAAGGCAACGGGAAAGGGGAATATAAGTAAGGAAAGAAAATATACAATAAGATAAGTGGTGACTCAACCGTTCCAAACACTGCTTCATAAGGTCGCGAGCCTCCTCGTCAACTCTGGGATGTAGGGGACAACCTGCCAACACATTAAGATTAGTATCTTTATTATGAAGGTGATTCGCTACACTGGACTTAAACAGTACAAAAAACAAAGATTGGGGCTAGGGGGGAAAGAAGGAGATGGGGTAGTCTGTCCCCCTGACTTCATATTCTTCTTGTGTTGGACTGATGAAACCAATGTGGTGGGAAACGTTTCAAAATTAAAGATACCCAAATGTTCCATATGTGTCTAATTTATCAACTTCTCGGTTCTATGAACCATTATCTATGTTAGTTTTAAAATAATATAACGACTAATAATGGCGTCAAGAAATCATTATTCACCTTCGTTGTAAAATTGAACTTGAAAGTTAATAAGATAAAAAAAAAACGCTGAAAGGAACCACTGTGATTGGTTCAGGTGTTATACATGAACCACAGTGATTGCTTCAGGTGTTATACATGAACCACAATGATTGGTTCAGGTGTTATCCAGGAACCAAAGTGACTGGTTTAGGTGTTATCCATGAACCTCAGTGACTGGTTCAGGTGTTATCCTTGAACCACAGTCATTGGCTCAGGTGTTATCTATAAATCACAGTAACTGGTTCAGGTGTTATACATGAACCACAATGATTGGTTCAGGTGTTATACATGAACCACAATGATTGGTTCAGGTGTTATACATGAACCACAATGATTGGTTCAGGTGTTATCCACGAACCACAGTGATTGCTTCGGGTGTTATCCATGAACCACATTGATTGGTTCAGGTGTTATCCATGAACCACAGTGATTGGTTCAGGTGTTATCCATGAACCACAATGATTGGTTCAGGTGCTCTCCATGAACCACAGTGACTCCAATCATCAGGATAACAGACATAACAAGCATTATCCCTGACTGCCTTCAGACTCGGTACTGAGCTAAAGTTTAAGGATACACTATCTAACTTACTACCAGAAATAAGACTGACCAGTAATTTTTGTCATGCAGTCTGTCATGTTGCTGTGCAAGGCTGGGGAAGGATGCAGCATCTGGTTGCAAGTTTGGGCCCGCGTCTCGCAGTTTGCCACCTTTAGGCCCAGGCATAATCTCCTGTCTAAGAATTTGCTTCGATTAGATACGAAAGCTTAATAAATAACATTGATTAATGGAATAAGAGATTAATGGAAGAGAAGATAGAGGGGAAGTACTGTTGATTTGGGCCTCTGAGTGAGGTCGTTTGCAGCAAATTGTTGAAATGATTCTCAGATATCAGTTGACTTATACTTGTATTAACGTAGTAAAACGAGAAGTGAAAACTGCGATGTGTGCAAGAAGTGTCTGTCAGCTGGGAATGTCGAAGAGGAGAATAAAAACTTTACGAGACAGTATAGAATCCTCGTGCAGGAAGCTACAGGCTTCTCCTCTCACTGACATCAACACCACAACGATGATTCTGGGTTATTGTTGGCAAGCAAATAGAGGAAGGTACTAAAATTATTGCAGGTATGCAAGGGAAGAACGCTTTCTGGATGTCTCTGAAGGGTCACTTTTACTCACACACGCACACACGGCGCCAGGAGCTATGAATCGACCCCTGCAACCACGATTAGCTGAGAACACAGTACAACTTTAGAGATGATAAATCTTGTCTCACAGACCTACTGGAGTGCTATAGCAAGGTAACGGAAGTAAAGCAGGGAGAGAGAGAGAGAGAGAGAGAGAGAGAGAGAGAGAGAGAGAGAGAGAGAGAGAGAGAGAGAGAGAGAGAGAGAGAGAGAGAGAAAGAGAGAGAGAGATAGGGATGGGTAGACTGCATCTTCTTGGGCTGTAGGAAGCTTTTGACACAGTACTACTACAAAGGCTAGGGGAGCAGGCAGGAATAGCAGAGAAGGCACTACAATGAATCAAGCAATGCCTAAGAAGATGGAAAAGAGTGATTGTGCGAGAAGAGATACCGGAATGGGTGCATGTGTCGAATGGGGATCCACATGGATCAGTACTAGGGGTGGCACTCTTGTTTTAATCCATGAACGTCATGAAGGAAGAGGTATCCTTGTTTGCAGATGATGTGAAACTGTTGAGTAGAATGCAAACAGGAGAAGACCAAGAAAGATTATACAAATGAACCTGGACAAGCTGTAGCTCTGGTCTGACACGTAGCTACTGGAATTTAACCTCGGCAAGTGGAAAGTTATGAAGATTGTGGAAGGGTAAAGAAGATCACCGACGGAGTACAGTACAGGGGAACAAAGGCTTCAAATCTCACTCAAGGACCTCGGGATAAACGTTGTACCAACATATGGAGAGTGGATAGTAGAGTGGTCGAGACAAGATCCATACATATCTTTAAGAAGAAGTACGATAAGGCTCTCGGACTCAGGAGAGAGCGAACTCAGTAGCACCAGTGAAGAGGCAAGCCAGGAGCAGACATGGCCTCTGCAGCCACATAAAGATGAGTTTCTCTCGTAAATATGATACTAAGCTACTAGTCATGCCAGGTTGGATTAAGTCTGATCTACTTACTGGTTGACGTTCTGTTGCGTAGTGTCCTGGGCGTCAGTATCTTACATTCCAGGTACTTGATGGTACAGCTAGTGTCCGTCGAGCCAGCACACGCTGTCTGCACTGTGGAGACATACCCGGTGAATATACTCTGAAGGTGTTATCCTTAGAGTAAATGATTAAGTACTGAACGGGTCATCTGATTAAAACTCTCGTCTGGAGACACTGTTTTGATTCCTGGTAAACAAAACACCACCACAAAGACACAGTTCAAATACACACACACACACACACACACGCACACGCACACACACACGAAAAACACACACCACACACACACACACACACACACACAACAGGCTACAAGCCTGGTCCAGCAACTGGCTCCTTGAATTTTAACCTGCCAAATGCAAAGTCATGAAGATTGGGGAAGGGCAAAGAAGACCGCAGACACAATTTTAGTTTAGATGGGCCAAAGATGCCCAAAACCTCACTCAAGGAAAAAGATTTTGGGGGTGAGTATAACACCGAGCATATCTCCTGAGGCGCACATCAATCAGATAACTGCTGCAGGATACGGGGCCCGGCAAACCTACGGATAGCGTTCCGATACCTCAGTAAGGGTTCGTTTAAGACTCTGTACACCATCTACGTCAGGCCCATACTTTGGGGTATGCAGCACCAGTTGGAATCCACACTAGTCAGCCGTCAAGAAATTAGAGAAAGGGGCAAAGGTTTGCAACCAGACTAGTCCCAGAGCTACGGGGATTGGTCCTATGAAGAAAGGTTGAGGGAAATCGGCCTGACGACACTGGAGGCCAGGAGGGTCAGGGGAGACATGATAACGACATAAAAAAATACTGCGCGGAATAGACGAGGTGGAAAAGACGGGATGTTCCAGAGATGGGACACAGACACAAGAGGTCAAAATTTGGGAAAAGTTGAAGACTCAGATGAATCAAAGGGATGTTAGGAAAGTATTTCTTCAGTCATAGAGTAGTCAGGCCATGGAATAGCCTAGAAAGTGATGTGGTGGGAGGCGGGAAAACCATACATAGTTTTAAGGCGAGGTATGATAGAGCTCATGGGGCAGGAGAGAGAGGGCCCTTTAGTAGCAATCAGCAAAGGGAGGGGGGGCCAGGAGCTGTGACTCGACCCTGCAACCACAAATAGGTGAGTACACACACACACCCCACACACACACACACACCGCTCAGCACACGCCACACACAACACACACACACACACAACACACACACACATCACACACACACCACACACACACACACACACACAACACACAACACACACACACACACACACACACACACACACCCAACACCCCACACACACACACCCCACACAAAACAAACCACACACACAACACACACACACACGATCCACACACACACACACACACACACACACAAAACACACACACAACACACACACACACACACACACACACCCCAACACACACCCCACACAAAAAACATTATGTAGTTCTCAACATTGTTGACATAGAGAGAAATAGTTAAGAGAGACAAATGCATTTTTCTACCATTACAAACCATGTTAACTGGGTGGCAATTCGTCAAACAATTGACCTCCGTGTCAGAAGTTTGTAGCTACATAAGACCCTCATGTTTCCTCACTGTCATCTTATACTACCGAGAATGTTATCAAAATATGTAGACTGGCACTGCTATCACTCTACAGTATATCCAGAATACCCAGGATATTAAGTCTCCAGGATATCCAGAATACCCAGGATATTAAGTCTCCAGGATATCCAGAATACTTTCTGCAAGAAATATTCTGGATATTTCCATGAGTAAAATTAATACCAGTCAACACATTTTTTTTTTTTTGTAAATATTCTCAGACATACAATATTTGTTATCTTTTTATAATACCAAGAATAATAATAATTATTTCTACAAGTACAAGGTATAGAGGCCTAGCTGACATCACTGATATAATATTATACAGGAGATCACATTTCGAGAAAAGTAGGTCAGGATGCGACCCACACCAGTCGACTAACACCCAAGTACCTATTTTACTGCTAGGTGAACATGGACAGCAGGTGTCTTAAGGAAACATATCCTAATGTTTCCACCCATACCGGGAATAGAACCACAGACCCCAGTTGCTCAGTTGCACTAGGTGCCTGGTGTTTGAGTATTTGTCGTCCAGTGGATAGAGTGATGCATACTTATATATATATATATATATATATATATATATAAATATATATATATATATATATATATATATATATATATATATATATATATATATATATATATTAAATTGTGTTTACATCTACTTTTAGAGATCAACAATACAACGAAATTATTAAAGCTATGGTTTGCTTAGTGGAAAGGAGTGTTTTTTTTTGGGGGGGGGAGGGGGGCGGAATGATCTTACAAGCTACGTTCTTTGTCTTCCCAGTGCACAGTTCTTGAGAGATATTTCACTCTTTTTGAGATAATTTATGGGCAGTGTGCTGCTCTGAACATACCTACGCATTTAAGGCTTCGTTTAAAGAGAAATTGAGAGAGGGGTGAATGTTGGGACTCGGGTATTAGAGATATCTAGTATCACTGATACCTTCGCTCTATCTTTGATCCTTGACTCTGTGATATTAAGGAAATGTGACAGCTGGAGGCTCTGTCTTGAGCAACTGTAGATGCAAAGGCATATAAAATGAACATGTCGTAGATACATACCATCGGGAATTCCTTGTGGTCCTGGTTTCATCAGAGTCTTACACTCGTCAACCTCACGTTGACAAGCTGGGGTTATCTTCAAGTTTCCAGGTACTGACGTGTTTACTGCTGTCTCTGGTTCTGCCGAGATACCACAATATTTTTATCTGACTCGTTCAGGAAACTCCAGACATGACAGCATGTTCCTGAACAAGACTGAATGAATGCACAAATATTTTAAGTATACATGATGTACATGCGTACGTATATATAATATTTTGATGCGTACATGATGCTGGGCATGGTGACGCAGGATCGAATCCTGGCTAGTCGCTGTTCTGTTAATGGTTCAAAATCACTCGTTTCGTCATATTTATATCTAAATCTATATATATATATATATATATATATATATATATATATATATAATATATAATATCGGTCAGCAGGATTAGAACTCTACGCGGAGAGCGAAACGTTGCCACAATAAAATTTCACTTCATGTAGTTATATCTGTATCCACTTAACATTTTGTCGGTAATACTACAAATATTATTAATTATAAGTAAATTATGTTTGAAAAGTATAATTATCTAGCCACTTATAAGTTGTAATATTCTGTAACATTCTGCTGCACCTGAAAAATGTATAATTAATTGTATAAAAGTTGTTATATTATCTAGATCTTGTTAGTACTACTACTACTACTACTACTACTACTACTACTACTAATAATAATAATAATAATAATAATAATAATAATAAGAAGAAGAAGAAGAAGAAGAAGAAGAGGAAGAAGAATGTCACAAATGCGAGCATCTCTGTCAGTTTACACACTTATTAATTAGAACAATACATAATAGAGAATTAAACACATGTGAAACATCTGGTCATCTTTATTAGTGAAACGTCTAGAAAGAGAGATAATCAGATGTTGCACAAATATACAAATAACCCGGACTTAGGAGACTTGAAGTTTGACGACGTTACCATGTTTCCTGTCTCAAGAACACGTCGTATTATTTATCTTGTCTTCGTGACCTCCACATTTGTGACCATCAGGTCCTTGACTCGCAAGTTTCATAAACTTAGCCTTTAACATGCTATCTGGACTTTCATTTCTTTCAAACTCTCTTTTCCTGTGAAATCTATCCTTTGCCTTCCCTATATTTCCAGTTTTCCATATCTTAATAACACTCTTCGTTCTTGAGACCCCCACATTTTGGTTTTGTTACTCTTCGTAGTAATCTTTCTCGTACCTCTCTTCCTGCTACAAAGGTTTCCGGAATCTACTCAATTTCCTGCTCCTCTTTTTTCTACGATACCTTCGGGAAACTGGCCGCTCTCTTTCTGACAGACTTCAGGAGCACGAAAGAAGTGTTAGACTTGCCGACACTAGTAATGCTCTTTCTTCTCTGTCATGTTAGAGATCACAGTCATCCTATTAACTGGTCCTCTGCTAAAACTGTCTTAACTTTCTGTTAGCCTTCACAGACGCTGTCTTGTTGCAGTATCACTTATACATTATTTTCCTAATATGAATTTTAGTCCTGACTTGGTCTCTGAAGATGCTGGTGGTGGTGGTGGTGGTGCTAGTACCACTAACTGTTGCTGTTGCTACTGCTGCTAGTACCACTAACTGCTGCTGCTGCTGTTAGCACCACTAACTGCTGCTGCTGATGCTGCTGTTAGTACCACTAACTGCTGCTGCTGCTGCTAGTACCACTAACTGCTGCTGCTGCTGCTGGTAGTACCACTAACTGCTGCTGCTGTTGTTAGTACCACTAACTGCTGCTGCTGCTGCTAGTACCACTAACTGCTGCTGCTGCTGCCGCTAGTACCACTGACTACCACTGTTATTACTACATTATTAATATATTAATCCAGATGTACTCCGTGCACGGATAAAATATGTGGTGGGACAAACTAAACAGCAGCTTTTGGGGACAGAAATTATCTTCACTACTCAGTCTTCCAGTTCTACCACTCCCGTCCACCGCTCACTTCTCGTATATATTTTTGCTTCCTTCCCTTGGCGCTTCTCTGTGACTAGTTAATGATCCAAGTTGGACAGAAACGTCGTTGTATGTTTCAGTCTCCTAACTGTTAGTTATTTGTGCATTGTTTCAGTCACGATGTTTTTATATTCCAGAGTATTTAGAACTTAGAAAATATCACCAAGGAGTAACATTTTGGTTGACTGTGAAAATGGCATAAAATAATACAAGTTGAAGATTAAGACACATGTGCAGCAGTTGGGTATCTTCGTTGATGAAACGTATCGCCTACACGGTAGACTTTTTCAGTCGAATACAAATGGAGCAGTAGTAGCGAAATAAAGATGTAATTAGTCCATCATTTTTGGAGAAAAGTTTTGAGGAGGTAGTCCCTGCCTGGAGAAGGTTTAGCTTCTCTTTCCAGGCTGAGGGACGACCCCTGGGGATATTTTTCGCAATTTGGTCGACGATAATCTTGATTTCATACTACTGCTCCTTTGTATTGACGGGGAAGTCTCCCGGTAGGCGTAGTTTCCAAAAAAGATTTAAACTGCTGCACATTTGTCTTCAGTGTTGTGTAGGGTGTCTGGTGGCGTTAGCTGTAATATTATAATTATTTTATTTATGTGAGGTGGAGCCCATGTGGGTCAGTTAGTGAAAATAATGTAAAAGGCTCGACCCTCCGTCACTAAGATTGACAGTAACAATACTCCTTCAGCCAGTTTTCCCCCTGCAGTGGAAAACACGCAGCGGGCCCTTTTTGGCCCCAACTAGGCAGGTTTTTTTAAAACCAACATTCCCCCCAAACCCCAAAACTCGAAACGTTCCCCAAATTTTACCGAGGAATTAGCACCCAAACGACTGATTTTTTAAGGGGGCTCTTGATTGGGGAATTCAAATGACTTTCCTTTTTTTGGGGTTAAGCCTGAATTCCTTTATTTCCAAAGGCTGTATGACCCCTAGAGTGTGTTTCTCATGCTATAACGTTAACGTGGGGCTATGTGACTTCTTCAGTTTTGGAACGTATAAAAGACAGTCCACGAGTAACTCACCTGTTTTGTTTAAAATCTACTGATTTAAGGGGAGTGGATCTGTGTTGGGGTCTGGCATCTCTGTGTTGGGTGGGTACGGTTTTAAAACGTGCGGGTACGGTATCGTGCTGGGTACGGGACGTTTCTGGGGCGGTATCGTTCCTGGGGATTGTATCGGTGCGGGCAGGGTTGTTTGCTAGGAGGCCCACTCCCCCAGTACCAGGGCCAAACAACCCACCCTCGCTGCACTGTTTGTCCTTTTTGCACACGACCCTGATGATGCACGGGGGCTGAGCGGGAAAAATGATGTTAGGAAAATAATAGCATCTTGTCAATAAAATAAGGTTCTCTGTAATAATAATCTTATAAATTTTTCGGTCGTTTGTTTTCTAAAAGTCAGTGCCCCGAAACCGTGTTTCCTTAACAAGAAAAAGGGTTTTTTAAAGGGGGGCCTTTTTTTACATGTTTAATGCAATAATTTTAAAGACTTTTTATGTAAAATTCAAAACATATATTTTCGTCTCATAATGAGCAAGATTTCGGAGTCTTGCATTCTACTTTCCTTTTGGGACCTCACATACATGTACAACATTTTTATAACAACCCCTCTGGTTTTTTTTCTTTTCTTTCAGTTCTTGTTCTTGTTTTTTTTTCCCCTTTTCTCCTGGGGGAAATGGAACAAAATTTTCCTCCCTAAGCCTGCGTGTTTAAGAGGCGAACAAAATGCCGGGAGCAAGGGGGTAGTAACCTCTTCTCCTGTATATATTACTAAATGTAAAAGGAGAAACTTTCGTTTTTCCTTTTGGGCCACCCCGCCTCGGTGGGATACGGCCGATGTGTTGAGAGAGAGATATATATTTCTAGTCATTGCTGATCAGTTTAGAAAATCAGACAATTGAAATAGAGGTTATAATAAGAATCGAGATGCATATTCTCCAGATAAGGCATAAGCAGGAACGTAAGTCACTAACATCACCGCACCCAGCTCTTGACAAGGTGGGTGTGGTGGTGTGAGTCCCCCACACCCACGTCCTGACAAGGTGGGTGTGGTAGTGTAAGTCCCCCACATCCACCTCCTGACAAGGTGGGTGTGGTCGTGTGAGTCCCCCACACCCACCTCCTGACAAGGTGGGTGTGGTGGTGTGACTCCCCTACACCTACCTCCTGATAAGACACTAAAGACAGTTTTAGCGATGAATTTCACCTGTGTTAGTGAGGAAGAAAGGAGGAACACTGCACCGATGAATCTTACTTGTGTTAGAGGCAGTCTTGGTGATGACACTCACCTGTGTAGAGGCAGTCTTAGTGATGACACTCACCTGTGTAGAGGCAGTCTTTGTGATGACACTCACCTGTGTAGAGTCAGTTTTAGCAATGACACTCACCTGTGTAGAGGCAGTATTAGTGATGACACTCACCTGTGTCAGAAGCAGTCTTGGTGATGACACTCACCTGTGTCAGAAGCAGTCTTGGTGATGACACTCACCTGTGTTAGAGGCAGTTTTAGTAATGACACTCACCTGTGTTAGATGCATTCTTAGTAATGACACTCACCTGTGTTAGATGCATTCTTAGTAATGACACTCACCTATGTTAGAGGCAGTTTTAGTGATGACACTCACCTGTGTTAGATGCAGTTTTAGTGATGACACTCACCTGTGTTAGATGCAGTCTTAGTGATGACACCAGTGTTAGCTAGGAGACAAGAGTGGTGGTGGTGCTGTCAGGTACAGGGTTATATACACCGCACTACTTCCCACAACCCTCGGTGTGTCCCTTCCTGTCGCCGGCCACAAGTAATTTGCATCCGCCTCCACTCTTCTTGTCCTTGCTTTTTACAAGAGCCCTGAGTTGATTTTATCCTTTGAGAAGAATACGAAGTTTTTTTTTTTTTTTTTTTTTTTTTTTTAAACGATACGAGGAATGTTGGGAGGTGGGAAGCATTTTGTCCCCCATGTGTTTTTGGGCCGGGTTTTGTTGCCCCCCGGAATGTTTAAAAACCCCATTTTTTAATATTATTATAATAATATATTTTAAAATTTTATTATAAAAAAATTTATATATTTTATATTTATTTTAATTATTTTATAATAAAATTAAAATAAACAATATTTTTCTTTATACTTTTGAAAATTAAATGTTTCCCCATT